TAAGATATCCACCAAACCCAACTAAATATATCCAGCTGGATTCCAAAATGCCCCTGGGCATTCAAGGAGACAGAGAGGAGACCTCAGAGTTTAAAGAGACAATGATTCTAACTTACAGAAATGATAAAACTTGATATTTAAAATATATGCTTATATGAATTTATTACTACACTCCTTCTCAGAGCCTTGGAAGGGCTTGTGCTAGGGAGGAGTTACAAATGCCCCTTTTGCTTATTGATGGGTTTGTCCATCGATAATATGAAGTTCTTTATCCTCTGAGAAGATATAAAGATTCTCCTGCATTTGATACAAACTCACAGGGACTGAACATGAGTTCTTAGGGGCTGATCTAGAAAATCTGGCATCTGCCACACCCATCCTCAGCTAGAGATGGGAGATAAAACACAAGCTCAGTCGAATACTGTGTGAGGTACAGAAAGCTCTTTGAGCTCCTTGGAGGAAGAACAAAGAAACACAAGTCAAATGGAAAAATACAAAATGGTTGTTTTGTAGACTCCCTAGGGTCTGCTATTAAGCCTGCTTCACTCTAGTGCTGAAAGACTGGCCAATTAATCCCACTGCACACTGGCATTCTGGTTCCCATGCCTTTCTAGTGCCCAGGACTGCATGCAGATCTGGATAATTGGCCCTCTCCTCTCTCCAACCAAGCCAGGCAGCCCAGTCTCGCTTTGCTCTAACAAATCTCCTACAGCCCCAGTAGCTGCTGCCCCTCACTGTTTCCTTAAAGGTCTTAACAAAACTCACTTAATCCTCCTGGCGTGGAATCCCGCTGCAGCAGGGAAGGTTTTAGGAAGTGTGTAATCACAGGATTTTGTGCCCTTCCTTACAGGCCTCTAGTTTCCTAGGCATGACACATGCCACCTCCTGCTGCCTTTGCACAGCGGTGTCACCCACAGCATTGCTGGCCCACTGCTGCTGCCACAGCCACTGACTGCCTTTCCGCTTGGAATGAGTTTTGTGTCATTTTGCATAGAATGCAGAAGGACGAGTGGCGAAGGGAAACTGAAATGGGAAAAGAAGGCCGATATAAATAAAAGACAGAGGCAGAGACAGGGAAAAGAGAACAAAAAGTTAAAGAAAACTATACCAAGTCCCTAAGGAAATCAGATGGAGATGTTCTTTTAACTCAGCCAAAGGAAAGAATGAGCTTGTGTTTTTAAGCCTTCAGGCTGTTGGCAAGGAAAATAAACCTCCTAATAGCTCTGAATCCATGGCAGCAAGGACAGAATGGGAAGAGTGAGGACAGGTGAGTGGGTTGTTTTGTTTTGGGTTTGTCTTCCAGAGAGGGGGTGGGATGACTAGATTTTCCCTGACAGATACAAGGAGAATTCCTTGAACATAGAATGTTCTTTGACTCAGCAAATCTCGGCACTGACAGACTTCAACTCCTTTTCCCACATAGATTGTGAACACTGAATTAAACCACCTTTTATACTTAACCAGAGATCAAATGGATGAATCCTGAGTGTATTTGCAGCCTGTGAGGTCATATAAGGACTTCACAACATATCAGACTCAAATGGTTATTACTGTTATCATCATCAATAACACCAACATAGCTTTCATCATTATTATTCTTTTAGGTGGGAAAAAGCCTCACAAGTAGTCCCCTAGTACTTACAGGGTCCCTTCCCTCCCAAGTCTTCTATATTAGCAGACCCCAGAGAGCAACAGCATGCCATCTTTTCCATTCTCTCTCTCTCTCTCAAAAATTTCCTCCTGTAGGTAATCATGTGGATTCTAGTATAGAGCAATAAAATTTAAATTCTGAATTGCCTGAAAATCACCAGTTCTGTAAATCTAAGTATTCAGAAATGATATGCAGATCAAATGCAAATGAACCCATGGCCCTCTTAACTAATTTGATACACCTGGATGTGGCTCTTAGGAGAACCCTAACAGAGACACCTGCAATTAGCACTAAAAGGATGGTCCCCTTGGTCATATTTCACTCCAATGTGTTTGCTACCAATTCGAAGTAACAGAAGTAATGAGCTCATGCAAAACAATAACTAAGAGTTTTTAAAAAAATAGTAACCATTGAATTTCATCCAAGCTGTCATTATTTTGTACTGAGAAATTACCAGGAGGCATCCAGCCACCCATCAAACTTCAAAATGCAAAGCATACTATACATCCCTTGACAGGACTTAAGGCAAATTAATCAGAAGTATTATTTTTCCAGGCTCTACCTTTGGTGATGGGAATAGAGATGCCTAGTTCTGTGCTCTGGAATAGGAAAAGGAAGTGTTGGCCTTAATCTCCCACATATTTCCCAGCAGCCAGCAGGAGTGCAGAGTGAAGCCGTTGGACGAAGCTCGCTTCTTATATAGAACTTTCTCTGATCTTGAACTGAGCAACAGGTCTGTGATGCTCCCACACTGCTGTATAAAAAAGCAAACTATTCTCCCTCTTTTTTCTGTCTAGTACTGGTCGGGGGCTGCTGCACGGACTCCCACCCACTTGGCTCCCACAGAGAGGTTGGTCTATTAGGGCTTAAGATGATTCAGGTGTAGCGAGGCTCAAATTCCCCAAAGATGTGAGTGCAGGACCAGGGATGATGAGAGAAATGTGTACCATGGGTGGAGGCACTGATAAGTAGCTGGGAGCAGACTTTACAATACTAATACATCTACCTGCACAGCAAACCTGATTTACTAAATGTGGGCAATGAGGAAAGAGGGGAAAGCTTCCCAGAACTGAATGCAGGATGTTTTTGAGAGAGATCTGTCACTAGAGCTCTACCTACCAGTCTCCAGGCACCAGCCTTAAGGGGATTCAGCCTTATAGGAGTCATGGGGCTCATGTCTCAGAGCATATCAGTCAAGGTTTAGCCAGGAAAGCAGAACCACCCAGTATGAGATTTTGGTGGACAGGTACACGCAGACAGGCAAGCTGACAGATGAATAGATGAATGGATGAAGATGGACAGGTGGGCCTATCACGTGGACTTGACTTTGTATAACTGTAAGACCTGGCTAAACAGCCTCTGAATAGATGACAGTGGAGCTTGAAGACCACAGGCCAAGCGGTCAAGGAGGTAGAGGAAAGTAAGAGCAAAGAAGAACCCACAGCCCATAATAATAGTCTAAATGGCTCTCAGTCCTTGTCCCTCTCCTCCCCACACGCACAAGTGACCTATCAGTGAGAATGGAAAAATCAGTAGACAATAGAGAGATCCTAGGCCTGGTAGTGGCTGTTGTGTGCTGATAAGATGAGTCAGTAGATCAGCAACAAAATATTAAACTAAATTTCTGCTGCTTCAAGTTGGCTTTGCAAACCTCATACAATAATCTCACTTGTGGTTACCCTAACAGGAGATATACAAGGGAGGTAATTCTGGGAAATTCCCATGTCTACCTGCCCAAGTTCACACATTGTGAAGCCTTTGCACTACCAAAAGCCTCTCTTTTGGCAAGGACAGACCGGACACTGTGGCTCCTCTATTGCCATTAGGCTAGGCGCCAGGGCATCGTAACCCCCGGGCCCTGCAGCTTCGGTCCATGCTAAAGCCAGAGAAAGGACATAAAGCACTTGAGGGAAAGTTTCCAGAGTCACCCAAAGGTGCCAAGGCCCAGAGATGGACAGGGAAGCACAGCCTGATAATCTCCTCTCTCCTCCCTCCCCGGTGACCGTACACTGCCATCCTGCAAACTGTACTAGCCGAGGTTGCTGCCTCTCCTTTGCCTGGGTCTTACTCACTTCATCCTTCCATCTGCCCACTGTAGAAGAAGGCTGCAGTTGTGCTACAGGTAGCAACATTGAGGCTATCTGCATCCTCAGTTGTGACTTTGATTACATGTATGATTGCCATTAGCCGGTCTGGCGGAGTGCCACTGAGAAAACAAAGGGAAATTATCTGAGATTGGGTAAAGAGGATTCAGATGTTATGGCCCCACTGACACGCACACAGATTATTAAACGCTTCATAGGCCCAGGGATTTAGCTCAGTGGTTCCCCTGCTTGCCTCACAAGCACAAGGTCCCGAGTTCGATCCCAGGTTAAAAAAAGAAAGAAACACACACACACACACACACACACACACACACACACACACACTCTGCCTTAACGGAGCCAGGGCTTTGCCAGGGCCAGGCAGGTGGTCTAGGAGTGTGAACAGGTAAATGTTTCACACAGGATGAGGGCATCCAAAAGGGGACAGCATGGTCAGGAGAAGGTCCCTGGCTCCAGGCATTTCCCTCAGCAAAGCAGACCTCAGAGAGGCCTCCTTTCCCGAGAGCCCTGTGGGGTGTCAGCTACGCAATCCTAGAGCGGCCTGTTTCCGCACAACAGACACGCACCACAGTGCCGATGCTCAATCTAACTTACCAGATGGCATTGAAAAGTCACAGCTTCTGTTTTTCTTACCCTGACAAGGTTTTAGAAGGGTAGAAATGGAACACTTCTTCCAAGTGAAAGTGTCTGTTCTGGCACGGAGGAGGCTTCATTCCAACAGGAGGGAGTGAGGGAGGGTGCCGAGGCACACATATGTGTGTGAGCACGTGTCTGCATTCCCGTGTGCACAGGGCTGGGGCTGCGTGGGGGTGGTGTGATGCCTAACAATCTACTCTCTGGCGGTGTCCTTGCTGCCTCTGGTGCTTAAAAATGAAAAACTCGGGTCGAAAACAGGCATGGTCACAGCGTGCACTGGGTAAAAGCAAATTAAGCATGCAAGCACTTAAAATCAGTCTTCACAGTCCCAGATGTCAGCAGCAGCATTTTAGTTGGGGCATCAGGGACATCAGGTAGCCAGGACAGAGATGGCCCCACACTGGAGCTCTGTTCTGACTTATGTGATGTCTTCTATTAGCAAGCCAGTCCATGCTGTTGTAAATTGCAAGTTGCTCCACGAGGCTGTCCAGGAGAGCTACTCGGGATGGCTAGGGACGCTAGCAAGGAGTAAGCTCAGGGTAGTAAAGGCTCAGAAATCGGTAGCCTATGGCAGGTAAGCAGTGAAAGATTCAGAAGACACATCATACCAGAGTCTGAAGAATTGGCTTAGTGTCAGCTCTGCAACTTCTTGCCAATGGCCAGGGCAGATCCTGAGCCTTGATTTTTCTCTCTTGTAAAATGAAAATAACAATATCATGGGGTTGTATAAGAGATAAAAGTATGTATAAATATTTTATAACTGACAAAGGAAAAACAAGGCTAGCATTTAAGGCTTTCCTGACAAAAATCACTAGTATTTTATGGTCATCTGTTATATGATCTTTTTAATGTTCTATACATGAAAACATTTAATTTCAAGAATCTCAAAATCACATTGAGAACATAGAATGGCTAATATATCAATCCAGGCCATTAACTTCATAGTCCATCTGTTCATCTTTCCTTCATTCTGCCTACCCTTGCCCACTATGATTCACCAAAGGGCGGGGCGGGGAGATGAGACACTTCTCCAATCACACGTCTGAGTTCAGATCTTTAACTTTGCAAAAATGTGAACAAGTTAAACTTATATTCCTATTACCGTATGTGGAAGTTGTAACCTTTTGCAGTTCGCATGAGTGGGCCTTGTGTGTACCTCAAGCATAAGCAGATTCTTAATTATTTTCTTAGAGTTTTAGCACCACCTACATCTTTTCCCAGGACCAGTCTCACTTAACAGCTGCCCCTTTACTCTAAAACTTAGTCTTCCTCTTAGGATGTCTCACATTATATTTCCTGCAGTATCAGATAAAAATGTATTCTGGGTCTTATAGCCTTTGAGTTGGGCTCAGCAAAGTAATTATAGCCTTTGCACTTGAGATGGCCCCAGTACAAGAAGGATTATTCTTTTTTTCTTGATAATACACGTCCTTATTTACTCAGCAGCAAGCTCAAGGCACTGCAAGGAAAGCTGATCCCTGCACTGGCCAGAGCAGGAGAATGTAACCAGATTTTGGCATCATTAAACCAGTCAACCAGCTGCAAGACATTACCAGCTGCCATGTTAATCATTAATGAGGCAGACAGTGCCTGTTGCCTGAGTAGTGAACCAAACATTATGACTTAGGTTTTCATTCCATTTAAAATTAACTCACTGAATGAAGAATCAGTTTCTAGATTATGACAGGCAGAGCTGTTGGTACAAAGAAGGAACTGGAAGTCCGGAAGCACAAAGAGAACACGAAGTCCCTCACTGATCTGATCCAACTGTTTGCACGCAGGCCATGTCTTTTAGTTCAACTTGATCTCACCTCCTCAAATCTGCTGCTCAAAATACTTCTGTGTTCCAAGCGGAGTCTCTCTGTGTCACTGCTCTTTCTTGCTGCTCCTTGTTCCAGTGCCTCTCTTGGTTACTTTTAATGTATCTTTAAAAAAAAGGAAAGCAGGAATATAGCCCAGTTCTTTATTTGGGAGTTGTATTTTCTTATTCAAAAACAGTTTTCTTTAAAACTTTTATTACATTTAAGCATGCACAATGGTAAAGAGAATAATACAATGAACCTAAATGAATCTGCCATTCTTTTTCAGTAATCATCCATATTTTGCCAATCTGGTTTCTACTATCTTCCCAAATTTGTGATTTGTTACATTTTCTCTTGAATATTTAAAGCAAAACCAAGGTATCATGCCATTCTACTCCCTAAAAATCTTCTACGTGTTTCTAATTAATAAGAATGTTACCTTACCTATTTATCTATTCATATATAATTACTGTCATTATTAAACCCAACAAAAATTAGTACATGTTTATTACCATTAAATAATGAGAACATATTCAAATTTCCCTGATTGTCTTCAATTTATAATTATCTGTCTTTTCCAATCTAAATAAGATCCACACATTACATTTGGTTAAAACTAAAGGTTTGATTAGATTCATGTTAAGTGAAAATCATTCTTAAACAGTTATCTGTACATCTTAATGCATAATAGTATAAAAAGCAAGATATTTGTGTGTCCTAATTTTTAATGATGCCAAGATTGATCAATGGGATGGATAGTATCAAACAGATTCTTTTGTGATAAATCTTTTCAGTAAGCATTCACCTGCTAGATTGTGCATCGGCTTAGGATCCATTATCTCATTAGGGGCTGTTAAACAGGAATCTTCTAACTGCATAGGCAGCTATGAACTGGAATTCTGTGAATGGCCAATCCTTACCAACCATTTATTTCCCTGAATAGAATTCCTATGGGAAAGGTAGGATAATTGCTTATTTCTTTCTCATTATTTACTAATAGTCTCATGTTTCAGTCACTTTCCTGTTACTGAGACAAAATACCCACAACTTAAAAGAGGAAAGGTTTAACAAAGTCCCGATGATGAACGTAACTGTACTGTAAACCTAAAATGTACCAATATACTCAATAAAAGAAAGGAAAGGTTTATTTTGGCTCACATTTTATAAGTTTCAGTCCTTCCACGGTCAGTCAGCTCCAGGCAAAAGCAGCACGGTGGAAGGGTCTAGAGGAGGAAAGCTGTTCTCCTCATGGGGGCCAGGAAGCAGAGAGAGAAAGGAGAAGCTGAGGAGCTAGGCCCCTCGTGACCTGACACCTCTTCTGATCAGATCCCAGCTCCCAATGCCCAGCCACCTGTAATGCCCTATAATTCCAATCACCCTCCTCAAACTCCACCTCTGAGAACATGACTCTTTGGGGGGACGATCACATAAAAAACATCAGAGTAATAAGTCATGCCCCAGAAACACCCCATAGAGACTAATGTTGTCTTTTATAATAAGATGCATTTCAGCTAAATGTAGCTGCCATCATATACAAATATGTGTGCATGGAAAAGTATATCTTTTTAATGATCAATTTGTCCTAAGGTCAGCAAGTAAGAGTCCATTCAAGTGGGCTTCCTTGCTCTTTGACTTGATGCATTCATTACTTTTAAAAAATTTTTACCATGGTAAAATATGGAATGTAAATTTTGCCATTTAGTCACTTTAAGTGCACAACTCAATGGTATCAATTATGTATCAATGGTATTCATAATGTTAAATAGCCATCACCATTATCTATTTCCAAATCTTTTTCATTAGGCCAATGTCATCCCATAACCACTAAATGATACTGTATTTCCTCATCCCCTCCTCCAACCTCTGGCAACTCCTAAACTACATAATGTCCTTACTAATTTGTCTTTATTAGCTAATTCACATAAATATTATCTCATATTAAGCCTTTGTATCTGAAACTCACTTAGCTAATATTCTTAAGAGTCACTTTACTGTAGCATATACATTCTACAAGAGTAATCAAATATATGGTGAATGTTTAAATAAAAATTTTATATTACAGTAAAAATTACATTGCCATAGCCCCCCACACTCCAAACATACTTATTCCATCATTCTTACCACCTTCTGAAGCACTTCTGGAATTTCTATCTCACTAGTGACTTTCCAAGGTGGGATTAAAAGTACAGTGGATGCTGGGCCAGGGATTTAGCTCAGGGTTGTCACACCTGCCTCCCAAGTGCAAAGTCCTGATGCCATAATGGGAATTTGGCATAGTTTCCATATGGGAAGTGTCCAAGCAGTTTTTTGTCACTATGCCAAAATACTTGACATCCACAACTTACAGAGGGGTATATTTATTTTGGATTAGTTTCAGTCCATGGTCAGCCAGCACCAAGGCAAAAACAGCTTAGCAGAGGGGCATGATGGCAAAACCTGCTCATATTATGACATCTAGGAACAAGAGAGAGAAAACAGAAGACCCAAGGAGGGAAACATATATGCTTTTAGTCTATCTCTAAAAGTCACCAAATTTTTAACAATTCCAGCATTGCTGAAAAGCCCAAGTCTCCTCTGAGACCCAAGGTAAATTTTTAGCTGTAAGCCCCTGTATAAATCCAAAAGAAAAATACTTCCAACATAAAAAGCACAGGGTAAATATTACTATTACAAAAGAGAGAAATAGGGGAATGGAAAAGAATCAGACAAAAGCAACACTGGAAATCATCAGCAAGGCAAATATTAATGCCTCAGAGAACAGAGCCTAGCACGCAGGGAAGGTTTAGGTGAAATGTAAGATACAAAAGGCTTGAGCAGCCCTCCCCCTATAGCATTGGCAATAGCAGCCTTCATGGCATCTTTCCTGGGGTGGCACAGTTTTCCTTAGCAGATGTTCCATAATCCTGGCATCTCCACTGTACTTTCAATTTGATTCTCAAGCTTCTGGCATTGCCCTCACAGAGACACACTACCTGGCTTCCCAGGGCTTCCTCTGAAATCTAGGTGGAAGCCTCCGTGACGCCATAACTCTTGCATCCTACCTGTCTGAAAAACCAGCACCACTGGAATGATGCCAAGCTCTGCAAACAGCTAGAACAGTAGTTCAATCCCTTTGGTCCATGGCTTTAGCATCTTTTGAGTACCTGCACCACTAATCTCTGAGAAACATTTTCCTCTGCAGCCCAGAAAGAAAAGGATACTTTGGAATGCTCTCTTCAAATGAAAGATTTGCAATTATGATGATGGAGCCTGCAAAGTGTGAGGTCCCCATTGTACTTGAGATATCCTCGTCATCTTTTTTTTTCAAGTCATCTTTTCTATTGTCCTGATGCAATGTACTCAGCTTCTTTTAATGCTATCTTTTCAGCAACTATACTTTCCATGCCCCAATTTTGCAATTGTTTCTGTTCTGGTAAAACGCTAGACTTCATACCTGCTTTTTTCCTCTTGTTTGTCACTGTAGATCTAGATAAAGGCAGCCAGCAATATCCATGTTCCAGCCTGAATATTGCTTGCATTGAAATTTCTTCAACCAAATTAATTAATCCACTACCCTTAATCTCAGTTTCTCACAAAGACTCAGGCTAAGGGAAGAATGAAGGCAAATATTCGATCAGAGCCTAACATGTATGATTTCTAGCCCAACTGCCAGAGGAGTCTTTGATCTCAACTCAAACTTCCTGAACTTGGCCTTTACTGCTCACATTTCTATCAGTACTTTGGTCTTTTGAGCTCTGACCAGTGCAGTATCATACACCAAGCTCAGTTTATGGCATTCTAGGGCCTCTCTACCCAGTACCTTTAAATCTTTTCAAAATCCTCCTGTAAAACACTCCCAAAAGCTTCTATTCCACATGGCCAGGTACAGTCACAGCAAAACCCCACTTCTCTGGTACCATAACCTATCTTAGTCACTTTCTCATCACTTAGACAAAATACCTGACACCTACAGCTTAAAGGAGGAGAAGTTTATTTAGACTCACATTTTCAGTCTATGGTCAGCTGGCTCCAAGACAGAAACAACATGAGAGAGAGGCGTGGTGGATGAAAAGCTGCTCATGGTCTGGAATGAAGGAAGATAAGAAAGAAAAGGAAGGAGCTAGAGAGGGAGACACACCCTTTCAGATCATCCCCTTCAGTGAGCTGCCTGTTGCAATCAGTTCCTGTCTCCTAACAGATCTTTTAGCTGTGGGTTTATTGGTTGACTGATCCACTGAAGAATAAAGTGTCCCAATGATTCGCTCACCTTCTAAAAGCCCCATTCTGAAACAAAATCTGAAGATTTTGGAGGACATTCTAAATCTAAACTATAACAGGATGGATGTGCATTCGTGTGGTCATAGGGAAAAGTGTGATAATCCCCTAAGATGGCCACCTCTCCTAAATACACAGCTATTTCACACAAAGTGGTGGAATCTGGATATGATTTGTGACTTGCTTTGAACAATAGAATGGATCAGAAATTATGTTCTAAGGACTTATGAGCCTTTGGACTTGCAGCAGCTTCTGCTTTTTCACTCTTGGCAGTGAGTAACATATATTGAAACCCAATAATCCTGAGATTGTCATGTCAGGAGGTCAAGAGAAAGATGACCAGTCAGCCCCCAATTCTGGCAAACTGTACTAGCAAAAGCAGTGTAACTCTGGACACCAAACTTGTGAGTAAAGAGGCCATCTTGGATATTCAAAGTCCAAAAGACACCATATGGAGCACAACTGCCCAGCTGACCCCAGCCTAACTAGCAGAACAAGGTAAAAAATCTTGTTTTTTAAAACTGCTGTTTGTGGCACCTCATTTTTCAGCCATAGACATCTGGAAAACTGGATAAAATCTTCATTTCTTATATTTCATTTCCTTTTTATTTCTATCATGAGAACTGGTTATTTTTATAGATGGTTTCCTTTTGAAATTCCTCCATGTTCATAAATGTTATTCGCCTTTTGTAATGCATCCTTTAATGTATCTGTCACAGTCATTTTAAAGTTCTTTGTCTGATAACGTCAACATTTTGACCACATAAGGGTCTGTTTCTATTGGCTTTCTTTTTTTCTAATTTTTTATTAGTATGTGTTTGTAGTACATAATGATTACATTATGTAATCATGAGGAGTTGGTACACATA